GAGAGCGGCTCCCCCAGCAGCAGGCCCGGGAGAGGAGCAGATCCCAGCAGACTCGGCACTCCTGCTTCAGTAGGGTGTATTTTCGCCCCCGAAATGCTGTTTGGCCCCGAGTGTCCTTTCAAGGACCAATCGAGGTTGGGCCCTGCCGAAACTCGGACATCTCTGTCCCGGGTCAGCGAGCCGCCTCGACCTCAGGCCCCAGCCCGCCCACCGCTCCCGCCGGGACACTGGTCCCCAGGAGCCAGGGAGCCTCACCTGGCCCAGGGTCACGACCGCGCCCGGGGCGCGTGGGCAGAGGCAGCCCTGACTGCACCTCGCTTCCCAGTGTCCGCACGGAAGGCGTTTGTACTCCACCGACGGGCGCCCTTTGGGGAGACGGTCCTCACCAGCTCTTCTCCGCCCCTCCTCCGGCGGGGGGCTCTCCATGCGCGGCTGCTGCAGCCCTGCGGCATTCCTCTCCCAAGGAGCAGCCCACAACTGCCGGGCAGCCGGCTGCGAGGCCCGAGCCCGCGTCTGCCGGGAGGACGCGCCACGTCCACAGGATTTTCGACGTCCAGAGGATTTTCGGATAGTCTGGGAGGCTCCGGCTGGCGCTGAGGGGGGCAGGGGGAGCGCGGGGGGCCGGCGGTCTTGAAGTCCACGCTGTCTACTTGGAGCCGCGTCTCTGAGGGCTTTTTAAATAATACAGTAGTTTATTTTTACATGTTTTGCGCCTTTTCCCACCTCAGTTGTCATTCCCGTGGGCTCCCCATCCCCAGATGACCCTGAGGGGTTTTAAGCAGTGCCATAGACCTGGAAATCTGTCTTTCTTCGGAGTGACTGACCTCTGGGAAATTCCTGTCGCTGAGCGGCTCCGGCCGGCGGGCTGAGCCCTCGGTTGAGCCCGGGAGACGGCAGCAGCCCTTTCACGGTGCATTCTAGTCCCCCGCGCCGTCAGAGCTGTCTCGCCGAGAGGACTAGAAAGAGCCGAAACCGCTTCTCCGTTTGCCTAATGGTGATTAGAACAACTGATTCCTGAACTGACCGTCAAGGGACTTGGCCAAAGATGACTCCGATTCCGGCACTCAGAGTTTAATAATTGATGTTATTCAAGTGGAACGCGCTCTTTATTGTCAGTGTCGTGAATGCAGTCCCAGCTGGAAACTGGCTTGCGGGTTTCTGTGCTCCTCTGTGGATGATCTGTTTGGGGCTCGTCTAAGCGCTCCGTAGTTTGCAGCCTAGGGCTGGCTGCCCGGGCGGTCCATTCCTGGGAGGCCACCACCTCAGAGAAAGGAGTGCCGTTCCAGAAGGTCGGGTTAGGAAAGGTCGTGTAAACACACACATATGTATGTACACACACACACATGTTCAATGTGTGTGTGTGTCCACATACGTGTTTAGCCTCAGAGTTTCTCTGAAAACCCCAGCCCAGCTTGGAGAACCCCACTCTGGCCAAAGGCTTTTTGTGGGGCTCGGCCCAGTGCCCTGCCGCCCCTGCGCGGGCTGAGATGTGGAATTCTGTCTCTAGAGGCAGATGAAGCCCCACGTGCTGAAGCAGCTATTTTTTGGGTCAAATACTGAGATAGAAAGCAAGAGACTCAGGGCAACTTGGAGGGGGGGGGCTGTGGAGCACCCCTGCAAGCTGCCAGGGGGAACGGGGTGTTTTGGCCTCTGGGCCTTTGTTCATCTGTTACTCCGAGGCAGTTAGGCTACTTTCTGCTTCAAAACAAACACTCCCCTTACTTCCTGGTCAGGCGCCTTAGAGAACATCCTGAACACAATGACAGCGTGAGATTAGCAGGCTCTGGCCTGGCCACCTGCTTCTTCTCTTCAGGGAGATAAAATTAGTCTCTGGCTGGGGCCTTTCACTCAACTGGCTGCAGATTGAGGGACGACACTCGGAGCACCAGGTTTGTCCTGTTCTGTAACTATCTGCCAGGTTTTGTCCCAAGGAGACCTCGAGGGGGGCAGCCGAGGAAGAGCCAGCACAGCTGGCCCGCACCCCTCCGGGCACCTCACCCGTGAAAGGCGTCGCCTGTATTTCAAAGGCATTTTTTAACCAAACAATATTCATCTCCCTGAAATTAGTTTTTTTTTTTTAAGATTTATTTATTTATGCACATAGAACTGGGCTACAGGCCAGAGGCTCAGGGGCAGCGAGAGGCTTCACCAGAGTGGGGAGCAGAACAGGCCGACTGACGAAGTACACTGCTGAGGGGAGCAGCGGGTGGGTCAGGAGAGGTCTGCCGCGCCCTGTGGTCACCTCTGGGGCAGGCGGGAATCGAACTTGTGCTGCAGTGGCTTCAGCTTCTTGGTGCTGTGCTTGAACCCACTGCACCCCCAGGGAGGGCCTGAAATGAGTTCTTTTAAAAGACGCTTCTCCTTCGTCCCCTAAAATGAAAAAAAATGCGGCAGCATACACGAGATGCCCAGGTCACTCTTAGCCGTGTCTTCGGCGTACATGTCAGGATGTCCAACAGGAACCTGGGCTCATTGTCGGGTTGCCACAGCCACCAGCATCTCCAGAACTTTCCTCACCTTGTGGAACTGAAGCTCTGTGCCTGTAAACATTAGCCCCCACCCCAGTGCTCCCCACTCTGCTTTCTGCTACTATCGTTTCTCTGCGCTGAGGAGCTCACGCAGGCACCTCCATCCAGTCCCTGGCTTATCTGACTTCCCGTCCTCAAGGTCTATCCGTGATGCATCTCGTCACACCTAAGGCTGCGTAGCATCCCGGTGTAGAGACCGGGATGTCGCATCTCCCGTTGCGGGGCGTTGGTGTGCGAATAATGTCACTCGAACACGCGTGTGCAAGTCCCTCTCTGAGATCTGCTGTCCGCTGTTTCGGCACATACTCGGCAGAGTTCCGAGTTGCATGTTGTGACTTTGGAAGCAGTGAGGACCCACCAGCCCATGGTTGCAGCAGCAGCACTTCTGCACCCCCGAAGTGCGCACGGGCCTGTTTCTCCACATCCATGTCAACACTCTCGCGGTGTGTTTAGATGGAAGCTCGGCACACGGTGCAAGGGGGTAGTATCTTGCTCCTGAAGCCGCCTCGGCGCTCAGGTGAGGCAGTTGCGCAGGTGTGGGCGGCGAGGAGAGATCTGGGAGCTGGCAACCAGGTGGCTCCCACGCCCTGTCATTTGCTGAGGAGGTGTGGAGCAGATTTCCTGCTTCCACACGGAGATATTTTCAGACAGCAGACGGGTTAGTGGATAGAGCAGTTAGCAGATGGACTCCACAACTTTTGATTCTTTGTGGTAGCAAAACACACCGGCCTCAGCCCGCGACAAGGCCCGGGGCTGGGAGCAGGCGGGGCCCCCTCATCGCTTCCCGTTTCTGGGCTGACCTCTGTGAAGTGCAGATACTGGAATAACCGCTATGAGCTCCGGCCCCTTCCGGCCTCAGCGTGAAGTTCTTGGCGTCTGCACAGTGACTTGAGCTTACTGGTGGGGAGGGCGAGCGATGTTTTGCTCCGAGAACAGAGTTGTCTTTGAGTCATTGAAGACGCCCCTGCTGCTGCTCGGGGCTGGGGAGGCAGCCCTGGTCTTCGGGGCACGAGGCCCGTGTCCTTGTCTCACAGACGAGCAGGGTGCAGCCATGGGGGGACACCATCCCGTCCGTGCTGCGCTTTCTCTCAGGAATGGAACACGCTGGCCAGGCCCGCGTGCCCCGGGGCCCCGCTGAGGGCCCCACTGCCGGGAGGTGACCGGCACCCTCGGGCCCAGCTTGGATGTGAGAACCACGAAATCAGGAGAGGCTGTGGGACTGGCGGAGGGTGTGACCGAACCAGCATAAAGGTCCAAAACTTCAGGGGCCCGGGACCCCAGTTCCTGGTCTCTTGGCATACTCGCGCCCCTGGGCATTTATTAGTGCAAAAGGCCTCACCCCTACGGGGGTCTAGTGAGAACCCGGCCAGGGAAGCAGGGAAGAGGTGCAGGGAAGGTCCCCGGGCGCAGGGACCCCCTCGCCTTGGGTCTGGCCGTGGGGTCAGAGGCGCTTGTGTGCACAGGTACCGGGCTGGGCGCTGAGCTGGTGATTTCGTCCCTAAGGGGGCCTCCGAGCGACCCCCTCCTCTCCTGCGGCCCTCCCACCCTCTGCATGAAGTCGCGCCACCAGCACCGGGCAAACTGAAGGGCGCTGCGGCATGAGGC